ATTATATAACAGAAATACAGCAGTATTCATAGACCAGGAAACATGCAGAGCGTGATTAATTGCAGTGGTCCCATAACTAGCAGGTACATTGTCATTAACACAACCATATGACATACAGAATAGGTAAGAATTTCTCAGTTGTGCACTGATAAGGAAGCATTTCGAGGCCACAACTATCTTGATAAATGAGAAAATATCTACAGAAGGTTTAACCTCGAAAATGTAGGGAGATTTGTGGAGTCTTATTACCACTTATGTCCCTTCATGGAGTCTTATTACCACTTATGTCCCTTCATGGAGTCTTATTACCACTTATGTCCCTTCATGGAGTCTTATTACCACTTATGTCCCTTCATGGAGTCTTATTACCACTTATGTCCCTTCATGGAGTCTTATTACCACTTATGTCCCTTCATGGAGTCTCATTACCCATAATAACTCCTTCACTGAGTCTGATTACCACTTATGTCTCATTCACGGAGTCTGACATTGACAGTCGAAGGAAAGTAATGACACACTGACAGACGAAGGAAGGTATTGACACACACTGATAGTCGACGGAAGGTATTGGCACACAGGCAGACGAAGGAAGGTATTGACAGTGACAGACGAAGGAAGGTATTGACACACTGACAGACGAAGGAAAGTATTGACACACTGACAGACGAAGGAAGGTATTGACTGTGACAGACGAAGGGAGGTATTGACACACTGACAGACGAAGGAAGGTATTGACACACTGACAGACGAAGGAAGGTATTGACAGTGACAGACGAAGGAAGGTATTGACACACTGACAGACGAAGGAAAGTATTGACACACTGACAGACGAAGGAAGGTATTGACTGTGACAGACGAAGGAAGGTATTGACAGTGACAGACGAAGGAAGGTATTGACAGTGACAGACGAAGGAAGGTATTGACACACTGACAGACGAAGGAAGGTATTGACACACTGACAGACGAAGGAAGGTATTAACAGTTACAGACGAAGGAAGGTATTGACACACTGACAGATGAAGGAAGATATTGACACTCTGGCCGACGAAAGGAAGGTATTGACACAATGGCAGTTGAAGGACGGCATTAACACACTGACAGACGAAAGGAAGGCATTAACACACTGACAGACGAAAGGAAGGCATTAACACACTGACAGACGAAGGAAGGTATTAACACACTGACAGACGAAGGAAGTTATTGACAGTGACAGACGAAGGAAGGTATTGATACACTGACAGACGAAGGAAGGTATTGACAGTGACAGACGAAGGAAGGTATTGATACACTGACAGACGAAGGAAGGTATTGACACACTGACAGACGAAGGAAGGTATTAACAGTTACAGACGAAGGAAGGTATTGACACACTGACAGACGAAGGAAGGTATTAACAGTTACAGACGAAGGAAGGTATTGACACACTGACAGATGAAGGAAGATATTGACACTCTGGCCGACGAAAGGAAGGTATTGACACAATGGCAGTTGAAGGACGGCATTAACACACTGACAGACGAAAGGAAGGCATTAACACACTGACAGACGAAAGGAAGGCATTAACACGCTGACAGACGAAGGAAGGTATTAACACACTGACAGACGAAGGAAGGTATTGACAGTGACAGACGAAGGAAGGTATTGATACACTGACAGACGAAGGAAGGTATTGACAGTGACAGACGAAGGAAGGTATTGACACACTGACAGACGAAGGAAGGTATTGACACACTGACAGACGAAGGAAGGTATTAACAGTTACAGACGAAGGAAGGTATTGACACACTGACAGATGAAGGAAGATATTGACACTCTGGCCGACGAAAGGAAGGTATTGACACAATGACAGTTGAAGGACGGCATTAACACACTGACAGACGAAAGGAAGGCATTAACACACTGACAGACGAAAGGAAGGCATTAACACACTGACAGACGAAGGAAGGTATTGACACACTGACAGACGAAGGAAGGTATTAACACACTGACAGACGAAGGAAGGTATTGACAGTGACAGACGAAGGAAGGTATTGACACACTGACAGACGAAGGAAGGTATTCACACACTGACAGACGAAGGAAGTTCTTGACACACTGATAGTCGAAGAAAGGTATTGACACTATGACAGACGAATGAAGGTAAAGATACACTGACATACGAAGGAAATAATTGACAAATTGACGGTCGAAGAAAAGAATTGACACATTGACAGACGATGGAAATAATTGACATACGGAAAGACGTTGAAGGTATTGACACATTGACAGTCACAGGAAAGTATTGACACACTGAGAGACGAAGGAAGATATTGACAAACTGACCGTTTGTTTTCGAGAAAGTAGTTAGCAAAATTATATACTTGATTTCTCCTTGCTATACAGATACCAATCTGGATTTCAGCCAGGTCGCTCTTCAGTGTATCAGCTAATTGAAATTTACTACAACAATTATAACAATGTAGAAAATCGGAATCACACGTGTTTTGTCTTGCAATATTTCCAAGGCTGTGTTTGGCATACAGGTCTAGAATACATATAGAAAAGTTAAGGAATCAATTGGAATCTTTTTTGATTACGTACGGAATCGCTATCAACAAGTCTCCATACACAACGTTACCTGTAGTATTAAAACAACCAATGTTGGTATACCCCAAGACTGCTACTACTACCTCACTCCATATGACTTTGCCACAATTCTTATTACGTAATACCAATGTAAGTTATAATACTTCTTTTTGTTTTTAAAAAAAAATCAACTTTTGCAAAGTCTTCCGTGCGATTGATTCAATCAATATTCCCGGTAACATCTGAAGCGGAAACCAAATACATACGAGTAAATAAATGACGTCATATCCGACTCCTGGAAAGCGATATAATGTAATGAACACATATCAGGTTGGATTATTCACAAATAAAAGATTCTCTATCATTGTGAATATATTTTAATCCACAAACAATCAATACGATAGTTCCTATAATGACTGGATTTCCTTTGACATTGACAGATACCCATATAATTACGTATAGTAATGGTATAAAAGGCAGGTATGAGATATAACACTTATTACGAAAGACAACATGGGAAGTAAAACTATTGTCCCTTGCCGCCTTTCAATGAATGAAAACATGATATTTTCTCTTCTTTGTTGATTAAATGAAAACATGCATAAAACAGACACAACGTAAACCTGATAAGCAGCGATTCAAGATCAACATATCAAATACAGGACACTCCAAGTTAACAAAACACGGCATAAATCACGAGAAAATACACACACGCATTACTTTCCCGGATCTTAGGATCACGGAATAAGTTATAGATGGATAAGCAACTGCCGTTTTTATCAATGAGACTTTCTTGCATGTCATATATTCCAGTCTCGTCGCCCGAGATATATCTAGATGGAAGTCCATGATAGGATAATAGAAGCTTATTTCCAAATAACATGGTATCTACTGATATCATGGAATAGATAACACAAATATGCACAAAAGTTATATGATGACGTCACAACTGAAGCATGCATAAAGCGACATATTCATTGACGTCATTGTATTCGCTGATGACGCAATAAATGGTGTAGACACATGCCAAATAGCGTCGTTTCTGATGTCTTCACAGATGAAACAGAGTAAATATACAAAAAAACAACAAAAAACCAAAAAAAGAAAAAAAACAAAACAAACAAAAAAAAAAAACAAACAAACAAAACAAAACAAAAACAAAAAAACAAAAAACTACTAACGTTACATAATAAAGGGGTATAAAATATGTAGCATTATATTCAACAAAGTCACAGAATAAACAGGGAAAAGTTATGCAGCGTGTGATTATTTCACAAAATAAACTGATTAAATTTACTCAAAATCTACCTATCTATAATGATGTCATAGAGTAATGTACACATAAAATGATGACGTTATATATTATAATTTTAATACGGATATGATCTTATGTCGATATTTTACCGGTCTTTCCCTTTGTACTCTATTGAAATAATGTCATATGTCTGTTTGGTTACATCACCACCTCCATCTACAATTCTTTTCTAGATGGATACGCGACAAGTGCTTTAAAAGTAACAAGCGGAAGTCTTTTCGATGTACTTCGCGGTTTATGTCATGATAACACCGAAGATCAAGTCATTATAATACCGCGGATAATGTCATGACAACACCGAAGATTATGTCATGACAACACCGAAGATCATGTCATGACAACACCGAAGATCATGTCATGATAACACCGAAGATCATGTCATGATAACACCGAAGATCATGTCATGACAACACCGAAGATCATGTCATGACAACACCGAAGATCATGTCATGATAACACCGAAGATCATGTCATGACAACACCGAAGATCATGTCATGATAACACCGAAGATCATGTCATGATAACACCGAAGATCATGTCATGATAACACCGAAGATCATGTCATGACAACACCGAAGATCATGTCATGATAACACCGAAGATCATGTTTGTACGAGGCTAGGAAATATTTTTGCGAGGTCGGAAAATTTTAAACCATTTCTGAATAGGAAGATCAAAAATAATTTGAGTAAGAAGGTCAGAAAATATTTCCCAATTGGAAGGTCACAGATATTTATTAGTTTCTATGTAGGAACATTAAAGAATATTTCCACGATATAGATGTATATATATATGGGACTGCTTACGAAATATCAACCTAAAGGACAGCATGATGTCTCGCATTCAAGAATCACCTAAAATCCACGTGATGACTGCTTGGTGAGATTAAGTTGTTTTAGAGCGAGGCCCAATGTAAAACATTTTTTGGGTCTTGGGTCGAATGTCACTTATGCCTTTCTCGTGGTGAGTGTTGGTAATGATGGCATTTTTAAAAAGTTATTTAATCAATGCTTCAAGTTTCACTTACAAGATCTTTTCCATGTCCTGATGTCATAAGTGATATATGCTACCTTCACAGCAACGGAGAGTGAAAAAGGAGCACAACTCAGGGTATATATATATGTGTGTGTGAACCAAAAGTTCCGTGGTATCCAGTGGTTTATGTCTATAAGTAATCACGTTGTTTCAAGTCTTGATAAATTTCCCAGAATTCTTCAGGTGTGATTTTGTACAGGAAATCAGCTTCTATTTCCGGCTTGAGTCTATTGACGCTTTCCAACATCGACAGGAGTGGTCCGGAATGTATGTCAGTTTGTCTAAAATGATATAAAAATAGCCTCAACACAATTAAAACATGTAATAAAAACTGTGGATAGAGTAACAACAGCTAGTTGCCGATATAAAACTTTACATAGACAGAGTAACAACAGCTAGTTGCCGATATAAAACTTTACATAGACAGAGTAACAACAGCTAGTTGCCGATATAAAACTTTACATAGACAGAGTAACAACAGCTAGTTGCCGATATAAAACTTTACATAGACAGAGTAACAACAGCTAGTTGCCGATATAAAACTTTACATAGACAGAGTAACAACAGCTAGTTGCCGATATAAAACTTTACATAGACAGAGTAACAACAGCTAGTTGCCAATATAAAACTTTACATAGACAGAGTAACAACAGCTAGTTGCCGATATAAAACTTTACATAGACAGAGTAACAACAGCTAGTTGCCGATATAAAACTTTACATAGACAGAGTATCAACAGCTAGTTGCCGATATAAAACTTTACATAGACAGAGTAACAACAGCTAGTTGCCGATATAAAACTTTACATAGAGTAACAACAGGGTTCCCCAGGTTTCTGTACTTGGGCCCTTGCTGTTCCTGTTTTACATCAATGACTTAGCTGACCCAATGCAAACATTTGTCAGACTATTTGCTGATTTCTCTCTACAAAAATCGTCTGACAATTTAAATGAAATCAGCAAACATTGAATCAGGATTTGCATCGTCTTCAAACTTGGTTTTATCAATGACTTATGCAGTTCAATCATGCAAAGACTTAGGCAGTTATCTTCTCTTCTAAACATATCACAATTAAGCCTTTGGTATGCCACGGTGAGCCGATTGAGTTCAACGACTCACATCGTCATTTAGGAGTAACTCTCATCATCTTCTCAAAAAGTAATTGCTTCGAAAAAACTGAAGTATAAAGTAGATAAGTCTACTCTCAATAATATATAAGTATCATTTATACGACCTGTGCTTGAATATGCCTCGTGTGTTTGGAATGGATGTTCGGAACACTTGTCTGACTCCAGAGAAAAAGTTCAGTTAGAAGCAGCTAGAATTGTCACGTGCATCACATCTATTGCTTCTCGTGACTCTTTTTATATTGAAACAGTTTGGGATCCACTCAAATAGAGAGGAATCAAAGCTAACTACATTCTACAAAATACATAACAAAAACGTCCCTCCATATTTAGAAAGCTTAATACCAACTAATAGACGTGACTTAAACATGGAGTTGAGAAATCCAGACAATTATCAAGTCTCCCGAAGTCGTCTGGATATTATGAAAAAGTCTTTCCCACATGCACTCTTCAGTTCCTGATTATTGACATTGTAATAGTCGATACCTCACTGTTATACATGGCCGCATTAGACATTACTGTAGTGGCTTCAGTTCAGATTTATATAGGGTAGGTATTTGTCAACCCCCGAAATGTCCGTGTGGTGAGGGTATTGAAGACGTAAGTCACTATTTCCTTACATGTTCATTATTTTCTAATTGTAGACGCATATTGTTTGATACTTTGTATGATTTAGACGTAGATTTTGATATAGAAACTATCTTATGGGGCGACAGTGATGTTTACTCATATGAAACTAATTGCAATATTGTTAGATTTTTCTGTAAGTGTATTAACATACCCTCGTTGTAGTCTATGTCTGTAAGTGTATAAAAATACCCTCGTTGTAGTCTATGTGTGTAGGTGTTTAAACATCCTTCTCATTGAAGTCTATGTATGTAGATATTTAAACATTACCAAGGAAATTTCTACAAAACTGGCCATGGAAATACAAGTATTACCACTTAGCAATGCTGATGTTTACAACGGGTCTTTCCCATGGTTAACAGTTCTTTATCGTACAAACCTTGCATTGCTATCAAATGAGAGAAGCTTTAAGATCCTAGCCTGGCAGTATTGCGCTGACTGTGTTTCCATTGCAACCTCGCCGGCACTTGGAGGGAACATCAACATCCCAACGCTACAAAACATAAAATATTCTGTACTGTAATTATAACAATTTACTGAATAGCGTACAACCATACACAAAATAGACTACATCACTTTACAACAAAGACTTAATAAATCAGCATATAATACAAACTTGGAAATCAGTATACAACACAAACTTGGAAATCAGTATACAACACAAACTTGGAAATCGGAATACAACACAAACTTGGAAATCAGTATACAACACAAACTTGTGAAATCAGTATACAACACAAACTTGGAAATCAGTATACAACACAAACTTGGAAAATGAGTAAAACACAAACTTGAGAAATCATTATACCACACAAACTTGAGCAATCAGTAAACAACACAAACTTGGAAATCAGTTTACAACACAAACTTGAGCAATCAGTATACAACACAAAGTTGGAAATCAGTATACAACACAAACTTGGAAATCAGTATACAACACAAACTTGAGAAATCAGTATACAACACAAACAAATCAGTATAGAACACAAACTTGGAAATCAGTATACAACACAAACTTGGAAATCAGTATACAACACAAACTTGGAAATCGGAATACAACACAAACTTGGGAAATCAGCATACAACACAAACTTGGGAAATCAGTATACAACACAAACTTGGGAAATCAGCATACAACACAAACTTGGGAAATCAGTATACAACACAAACTTAAGAAATCAGTATACAACACAAACTTGGAAATCAGTATACAACACAAACTTGGAAATCAGTATACAACACAAACTTAAGAAATCAGTATACAACACAAACTTGGAAATCAGTATACAACACAAACTTAAGAAATCAGTATACAACACAAACTTGGAAATCAGTATACAACACAAACTTAAGAAATCAGTATACAACACAAACTTAAGAAATCAGTATACAACACAAACTTGGAAATCAGTATACAACACAAACTTGGAAATCAGTATACAACACAAACTCAGTATACAACACAAACTTGGAAATCAGTATACAACACAAATGGAAATCAGTATACAACACAAACTTGGAAATCAGTATACAACACAAACTTGGAAATCAGTATACAACACAAACTTGGAAATCAGTATACAAACAAACAAATCAGTATACAACACAAACTTGCAAATCAGTATACAACACAAACTTGGAAATCAGTATACAACACAAACATGGAAAACAGCATACAACACAAACTTGGAAAATCAGTATACAATACAAACTTGGAAAATCAGTATACAACACAAACTTGGAAATCAGTATACAACACAAACTTGGAAATCAGTATACAACACAAACTTGGAAAATGAGTAAAACAAAAACTTGAGAAATCATTATGCCACACAAACTTGGAAATCAGTTTACAACACAACCTTGTGAAATCAGTATACAGCACAAACTTGGAAATCATTATACAACACAAACTTGTGAAATCAGTATACAACACAAACTTGGAAATCAGTATACCACACAAAGTTGGAAATCAGTATACAACACAAACTTGTGAAATCAGTATACAACACAAACTTGGAAATCAGTATACAACACAAACTTGGAAATCAGTATACAACACAAACTTGGAAATCAGTATACAACACAAACTTGGAAATCAGTATACAACACAAACTTGGAAATCAGTATACAACACAAACTTGGAAATCAGTATACAACACAAACTTGGAAATCAGTATACAACACAAACTTGGAAATCAGTATACAACATAAACTTGAAAACATCATTATACAATAAAGACCGATGAAATCATTCTACAACACAAACATTGGAAATCAGTATACAACACAAACTTGGACAATCAGTATACAACACAAACTTGGAAATCAGTATACAACACAAACTTGGAAATCAGTATACAACACAAACTTGGAAATCAGTATACAACACAAACTTGGAAAATAAGTATACAACACAAACTTGAGAAATCAGATTATAACACAAACTTAGGAATTAAGTATACGACACAAACTTGAGCAATCAGTATACAACACAAACTTGAGAAATCAGTATACAACACAAACATGGAAAATCAGTATACAGCACAAACTTCAGAAATCAGTATACAACACAAACTTAAAAAATGAGTACAACACAAACTTGGAAATCAGTATACAACACAAACTTAAGAAATCAGTATACAACACAAACTTGAGAAATCAGTATACAATACAAACTTGAGAAATCAGTATACAACACAAACTTGAGAAATCAGTATACAACACTAACTTTGAAAATAAGTATACAACACTAACTTTAAAAATAAGTATACAACAAAAACTGAGGAAATCAGTATACAACACAAACTTGGAAATCAGTATATAACACAAACTTGGAAATCAGTATACAACACAAACTTGTGAAATCAGTATACAACACAAACTTGGAAATCAGTATACAACACAAACTTGGAAATCAGTATACAATACAAACTTTGAAATTATACAACACAAACTTAAAAATCAGTATACAACAACACAAACTTGAGAAATCAGTATACAACACAAACCTAAGAAATCAGTATACAACACAAACATGGAAAATCAGTATACAACACAAACTTGAGAAATCAGTATACAACACAAACTTGAGAAATCAGTATACAACACAAACCTAAGAAATCAGTATACAACACAAACATGGAAAATCAGTATACAACACAAACTTGAGAAATCAGTATACAACACAAACCTAAGAAAACAGCATACAACACAAACTTGGAAAATCAGTATACAACACAAACTTGGAAATCAGTATACAACACAAACTTGAGCCATCAGTATACAACACAAACTTGAGCCATCAGTATAAAACACAAACTTGAGAAATCAGTATACAACACAAACATGGAAAACAGTATACAACACAAACTTGGAAATCAGTATACAACACAAACTTGGAAATCAGTATACAACACAAACTTGGAAATCAGTATACAACACAAACTTGGAAAATAAGTATACAGCAAAGACTGAGGAAATCAGTATACAGCACAAACTTGAGAAATCATTATACCACACAAACGTGATCAATCAGTAAACAACACAAACTTATGAAATCAGAATACAACACAAACTTGAGAAATCAGAATACAACACAAACTTGAGAAATCAGTATACAACACAAACTTGAGAAATCAGTATACAACACAAACTTGAGAAATCAGTATACAACACAAACTTGGAAATCAGTATACAACACAAACTTGGAAAAGTATACAACACAAAAGTATACAACACAAACTTGGAAATCAGTATACAACACAAACACAAACTTGAGAAATCAGTATACAACACAAACATGGAAAACAGTATACAACACAAACTTGAGAAATCATTATACAACACAAACTTGGAAATCAGTTTACAACACAAACTTGAGAAATCATTATACAACACCAACTTGTGAAATCAGTATACAACACAAACTTGGAAATCAGTATACAACACAAACTTGGAAATCAGTATACAACACAAACTTGAGAAATCAGTATACAACACAAACTTAAGAAATCAGTATACAACACAAACTTGGAAAATAAGTATACAACAAAGACTGAGGAAATCAGTATACAACACAAACTTAAGAAATCAGTATACAACACAAACTTGAGAAATCAGTATACAACACAAACTTGAGAAATCAGTATACAACACAAACTTGAGAAATCAGTATACAACACAAACTTCAAAAATGAGTAAAACACAATTTTGTGAAAGCGACATACAACACAAACATGGAAAACAGTATACAACGCAAACTTTGGAAATAGCTACACAACTTAATTGTAGGGAATTAGTATACAACAAAAACTTGGAAATCAGTATACAACACAAATTTGAGAAATCATTATACAACACAAACAACACCAACTTGTGAAATCAGTATACAACACAAACTTGGAAATCAGTATACAACACAAACTTGGAAATCAGTATACAACACAAACTTGGAAATCAGTATACAACACAAACTTCGGAAATCAGTATACAACACAAATTTGAGATATCATTATACAACACAAACTTGGAAATCAGTATACAACACAAACTTGGAAATCAGTAAACAACACAAACTTGGAAATCAGTATACAGCACAAACTTGGAAATCATTATACCACACAATCTTGTGAAATCAGTATACAACACAAACTTGAGAAATCAGTATACAACACAAACTTGAGAAATCAGTATACAACACAAACTTGTGAAATCAGTATACAGCACAAACTTGGAAATCAGTATACAACACAAACTTGAGAAATCAGTATACAACACAAACCTAAGAAATCAGTATACAACACAAACATGGAAAATCAGTATACAACACAAACTTGAGAAATCAGTATACAACACAAACTTGAGAAATCAGTATACAACACAAACTTGGAAATCAGTATACAACACAAACTTAAGAAATCAGTATACAACACAAACTTGAGAAATCAGTATACAACACAAACTTGAGAAATCAGTATACAACACAAACCTAAGAAATCAGTATACAACACAAACTTGGAAAATCAGTATACAACACAAACTTGGAAATCAGTATACAACACAAACTTGGAAATCAGTATACAACACAAACTTGGAAATCAGTATACAACACAAACTTGAGAAATCATTATACAACACCAACTTGTGAAATCAGTATACAACACAAACTTGGAAATCAGTATACAACACCAATTTGACCAATCAGTATACAACACAAACTTAAGAAATCAGTATACAACACAAACTTAAGAAATCAGTATACAACACAAACTTGGAAATCAGTATACTACACAAACTTGGGAAATCAGTATACAACAAAGATTGAGGAAATCAGTATACAACACAAACTTGGAAATCAGTATACAACACAAACTTGGAAATCAGTATACAACACAAACTTGGAAATCAGTATACAACACAAACTTAAGAAATCAGTATACAACACAAACTTGAGAAATCAGTATACAACACAAACTTGAGAAATCAGTATAC